GTCCTAGTTTTGTTCTGTAACCTAGCTGCATGTTTTTTTCTGTCTGTACCATTTCCTGAAAATAGCCAAAATCATCTATGTACCTGCTCCACAACAACAAGGCCATGCATTATTTGCTATATTTGGCTTCCTTTTAACCTCCTATAATCTTCCAGGTTGAGGGAGCAACCGATATGGCATCAGCAGCTGGCGGCCATGCCCCAGGCATGGAACAAAATGAGGTGTATGATCCAATGAGCTTACCTGACGTCGAGAAGTAAGTACAGTCTTCATCCAACTGCTGTTTTATACTCCCTCCGCTCCTAAATATAAGACTTTCTAGAGATTTCAATACGGACTACATACGGAGCAAAATGAGTGAATCGACACTCTAATATGTCTGTACATCCGTATGAGTCCATATTGAAATCTCTAAAAAGACTTATATTTAGAAAATGGAGGGAGTACTCTTTTTTACGCATTATTAAAGGAGCATATAGCTCCCAATTTCATTTCATGAAATGAAACTGATAACATAAATCATTCCAGTTTTGAAACTGACCCTCAAAAACTGTAAGGTTCAGCAAGAGGAAAAGAAAACAACCTCAGCCCTGACGATTTATACTGCTGACCTCTATCTATCTAATTGATGCACCTTTTCTTCCTTCCGATCTAGGCTGAATGCTTCATACATGGCGGTTCATGGTAATGCGATGCTAGGACGCCACCTCTGGCTGAAGACCTCACCATTGTCTCAGTCTGCTTGAGCAAAGAGCAACCCATCTATCTATGGCCCATTGCCGCCTTCTTTTCTGAAGATTTTTGAGGCCCCCCTCCGAGAAGGCTGACGGACAGCTTAGCTAGCTTCATATATGTTGCGTCGCATGTACTATGATGTAGGAAACCTCTTTTGTTAGTCCTGTACTGGTTTATCTAAAGTTATTGCCAACGATGCTGCTACCAAGTTTCTGCCATGCAGCATAAGAATGCGTTTTTTTGTATCCTGACCATCTTGTGCCACAGATAAAGGATTAGTTTGGTTCGTGTTCACAGATGTATGCCTGGGAAATATTGCTGCCTGGTGTGGTCATAATCTCAGGTTGTTTTGCTGCCTGGTCAGGCATCGTTGGTTCCGAGGCGTCTGGTAAGGCCTTGTACAATGCGGACGAGGCTCCTCTGACGTACTGCAGGGTGCAGTTGGGCCACTGACAGGTGGGCCCGAAAGCAAGTTGGCCCACCTGTCAGTGACCCAACTGCACCCTGCAGTACGTCAGGGGAGCCGAGTCCGTACAATGCTAGGTGCTTAGAAAAATGAACCGGGTTTTTTTAAGCACAATCTACAGGAGAGATGCCTAACTAAGTGTCTAACCGGTGCTTAAAGAAAGTCTGATTTATTTGTTCAAGCACCTCTTTTAAGCACCTTGCATTATACCAAACTACCGAAAGTTTCCTGGTGGTTCTTTCTTCTTCCTTTTGTACAGAATCCGATGATTCTCTCGTGTTGTGGTTCTGTGCATCATGTAGTAATGTGTCCGTGGTGTTTCCCCCCTCCTCAAATGTCTGGATGGTTGCTGTGCACCATGTAATTATGTGTGGTTTCTCCCCATCCTGAAACGTCAGTAAGGGCATCTCCAATGCACGGGCGAGGAAAACACCGGTGTAAGCGACTGGGCTTGCAACGCAACGCACGAGCGCTAGTTTGAGCGCTTATCTGATTTTCTTTTCTTCCGGACGAATGTGTGAAGCGCCTGTCCCTCCAACGCACAAACCGAAGCGTCGACCCCACCGTCTGACCGAACAACGAACCCGCTCTGCCAGCCTGCTACCCACTCAGCTCAGTCCTCATTCAGCTAGCTCTCT